AATAATCATATAGAAATTTCGTCTTTTATTAAGCGGAACACATGCATTCCACTTGATTTAACAACTGTCCAATGAAAACAAACATCTCGAAATTTTTTTTAAAAGGAAGAAGTGTATATATATATATATATATATATATATATATATATATATATATATCACTGAGGTCGCGCGATGATGATAATAATTATGATCGTGACATAAACCTATGAATTGTTAATCTGAATGAAGAGCAGTTCTAATTAGTTCGACCAAAATACATTGTGTAATTAACTTATAATAATTACCGATAGTTCAAATTCAATTGGAATAATATGAAAAGTTTAAACATTTTTTTTCTCCTTAACTAAAGGTTCACAAAATAAGATGAATAGCTTTTCGTCAAGTAGACAGTTGACAATAATAAGGAAAGGGTAATGTCATTAGATAAACGACCAGGTCATATTAGAATAGCTGTAGTGTATTGATTAAAAACCAAAGGAAATGATTTTACTTAAAGCATAGTTAAAGTTATAGGAATATATAATAATAACATATTTACTCTGGTTAAATAATCACCTCTTCTTTTTTTACTTTATTTCAATGGGTTCAATAATATTTAAGCAGAATGTATATAAAGTATGCAAAGTGTGGCTACTTTTTTACCAACAAAATTAAAATAATGTGGTGTAAACTTCGATTGGAAGTCTACAGTTTTTCGGTTAACTTGTACAGTAATGTTTTAATCCTAAATATATTACACTGTGTAAATAGTGAGGAAACGTGATCAGTGGAGTTTAGCTGTGTCAGAGGTAAATCAGTTACCCACCTAGATCTGTTAAATACTGTAAAAAAGTGGTTGCATTTTAAACTATATACGAATAAATTTGGATATTTTCCTCACTGAATTTCGTTTCCTTTTACATCAAAACTGATGTATTTTCTCCAATTGCATCTAATTGAGAAAAAATTTGTTACAGTTCACAGGAATATAGTACCTTAAAATTATTATGTGCTTACTACTGACTATCTTTGAGGAAATTTACGGAGTCCCAGTGAGAGACTGTGACCAGTGGAGTTCAACCGTGTCAGAGGTAAATCAGTTACCCACCGAAGACAGTCGTACAATATCGTGATTCGGTTGGAGTTAGGAAATAACACCGTTGGATCCCGGTTCAGTGGTCCAGATGTTAAGGTTTCGCTTGCAAGACCGAAGCTCCCGACTTCGAATTCCGCGTGTGGGGTCGTTGATGCGCACTACTGGGAGTCCCATACTAGGACGAAAAAGTTGTCCAGCACTTTCAGGTTTTTAGTGCTGGTCTAACATTGATCATTTCTTCATCTCAAGCAAAAGTCAACAGTCTACACAAAAATAAAAATAATATATTTCTAATATCCTAATGAGTGGAAAGATTATATTCTTGACGTTTTGTGACTCAGTCTAAGCCATTTCTTCAGAGAAAAACTGAACAAATTAAATTAACCTAAGCTTGAATAGTACAAAAAACAAAGCAGTTATATTCGGTGCGGTCAACCAAGAACAGGTGTTGCCAAATCAACGTCATGTTTGAGGTCGTGATTTATGCAATGCATTTGTGTGTGTGTGTGTGTGTGTTCAATGATGGAAAAATGTGACATTTGTGGTTCGGAGGTATAGAGTTGGATTTGTATGTACGATAATGGTGTGAGATGTGAATAGAATTAGACACGGTAGCTTGGATAGATGATCTATGTCTGATGGATTGTGAAACCTTTTTCATTGAGTGCAGTAGGATTAAACAACATATAGGAAGCTCCAGCTACTCAGTTTTCTTTGTAGTTGGAAAACCTTCTTTGTTTTATTTTTGTGTTTTTAATACCGATATACAGTATGCTGTTTAATAGTACTTAGGTATTTACTTATCTTAATTTCAAACCGTATGCTCCATCACTGGTATTACGTTAATACAGGAAAAAACTGGAAGACACATACACACTTGTTTATTTCTCGCTTCAGACATTTACCAAATTTCATTAAAACCATCACTTAAAAAATTGAATGCACTAAACATACTTTTCGTCCTAGTATGGGACTCCCAGTAGTGCGCATCAACGACCCCACACGCGGAATTCGAAGTCGGGAGCTTCGGTCTTGCAAGCGAAACCTTAACATCTGGACCACTGAACCGGGATCCAACGGTGTTATTTCCTAACTCCAACCGAACCACGATATTGTACGACTGTCTTCGGTGGGTAACTGATTTACCTCTGACACAGTTGAACTCCACTGGTCACAGTCTCTCACTGGGACTCCGTAAATTTCCTCAAAGATAGTCAGTAGTAAGCACATAATAATTTTAAGGTACTATATTCCTGTGAACTGTAACAAATTTTTTCTCAATTAGATGCAATTGGAGAAAATACATCAGTTTTGATGTAAAAGGAAACGAAATTCAGTGAGGAAAATATCCAAATTTATTCGTATATAGTTTAAAATGCAACCACTTTTTTACAGTACTTAACAGATTTAGGTTGAATGTGAGATATAGAAAACAATTTGTAGCTCAAGAAGATTATTTCGGTTAATAATACAGTGTAAATCTTCATAATTCCCAAGTAAATCTATGTTCAGAGAAATGGATAGAATACTGTTAATCTCTTACAGTGAATAATACTAATTTTTTGGAATAATATGATAATTAAGAGTATTTGAATTATACTATAAACTAAGAATCCCAGAAATTACGCAATTAAATCAAGAAGTACCAGACAAGCACGAACAAATGTACTGTATTTGAAATTCGAAACCAAGCATTCAACATATACAAAGGACTCCTCAGTTTATTCAAACACCACATCCGCCACAGCTTAAATTGGAGTCTAGATGTTTGTATTCAACCGTACGTCTTCTTCTCAAATTCATCCTGAGTCTGTCTGACATTGTGTTGGATAAGAACTCTGTATTATCTAGAATGTACTCATTAATATTAGAATTAACAACCGAAATTGGAACAGACTCACCTGGTTCCTGGTATTGTATTTGATGAACATGTCGATTGTGTGTACTTAAGTCAATGATATCTAGAATTCGCATCATAAATTTCCCGACATTTTATTTGGCACTTCTCTTCTGAACCGTATAGTCATATGCACTCAGAGCAATACTCCATCGTTGAACCATAACAGCTGAGGAATGTGCTAAGGATTTTTCAGGATGATAAATAAACTTTAAAGCTTAATGATCAATAACAATAGTGAATTTCTTTCCGAATACACATTTATGAAGTCTTTTAACAGCCCAAAACACAGATAATGCTTTTCGCTGAGTCTGTGAATAACCTTGTTCAGTAATAGTACGTTTGCGTGAAACACAAATAACTGGTCTACCTTCCTGCTTTAAAACTGCACCAATTCCAACTGGTGATGCATCAGTAATGAGCACAGAATGTACGCTCGGGGAGTAAGTTCGAAGAACAGCTTCATTTTGAAGAAGCTTTAGTAACTTCGTAAGCATGACTCTTGTTCTTCACTCCATTTGAATGAATAGGATATCAAAATATTAAATAAACAATTTGCACGACAAGAAAAATTAGGAATAAGACGGGATTAGTACTGAAGAGCACTCACTAGTGAACGTAGTTCCGTAAGGTTTTTGGAGACGGTGCATTTGTCAGTGGAGCTAGTCGTTTCATATCTGATCTCAAACCATTACCATCAACTAGGTATCCAAGACATTCGAAACTAGATACACAAAATGGACACTTGTTTGGATTCACTGTAATATTCCTCTCAATTAAACGACGCAATATAGCAATAAGTCTCTCGTCATGAACTACCTTGTCAGAACCATGAACAATGAGGTCATCTTGATACACTTCAACACCTTCAAGATACCTAACAACTTTATTCATAACTTCCTGAAATACGGCTGGAGGACAACTTAGACCAAATGGAAGGAAATTGTATTTGAACAGACCAAAAGGAGTGTTAATTGTCGTCAAAATATATGAAGATTGATCTAAAGGAATTTGAAGATAAGCATCTTCTCGGTCAACCTTTGAGAACACTTTAGAACCGTGAAGTCGATTTAGAATATCTTCAGCCTCTACCGTCGTTCACGTTTGCTTCAACAAACGGGAGTTCAATGTTAATCTATAGTCACCACAAATTCTAGGGGTCTTGCCGTCCGATTTCTGTGGCGTAACAATAGGAGTACCTCATGCTGAAGACTCAATCGGTTCAGTTATTCCTTTCTCACGCAATTCGTTTAAAGTCTTATGTACTGCTTCTTGAAGACCATAAGGAATTACTGGTCTTTTAGGAAAGACTGGATCACCCTGTACTTGGAGTTTTATAGGCTGAATTTTCATACCTCCACTGCACTTAGCACACATAGCTATCAAATGTTTAAGTTATGTATCAGAATTTTCTTTAGAATCTAGGAAAGACAACTCCACTTTAATCCCTTTCAAATTCTTTAAACTTAATATGGCGAGACTCTAATTTAGGGACGAGCCAATCAGAAGCGTTTGAGCAATTTCAATTATTAGCCAATCAGAAGACAGTTAGTATAAAGTAAAAATATATTATAAGAAAGTAATGAATTACAGTGGATATTCTTCTTTCACATGATTTAGAAACTTGTTAAGGTTTGATAAAGGTTCAGAGGTTCTGAATTCATAATGCATACGGTATAGAAACTCGTCCTTAGGGTTAAGGTGGCGAGATTCTAATTTATGGACGAGTCAATCCGAAGCGTTTGAGTAATTTCAAGGTCACGGAGCCAAGTTCAACACGTGATGCTAACATACGATCGGTTTACAGCGGATTTTAGAGAAGAGGTGTTTATTGAGAGGCTACAACCCTAACCTTAACCCTAAATCCTAACCCTATGGACGAGTCTCTATACCGTATGCATTATGAATTCAGAACCTCTGAACCTTTATCAAACCTTAACAAGTTTCTAAATCATGTGAAAGAAGAATATCCACTGTAATTCATTACTTTCTTATAATATATTTTTACTTTATACTAACTGTCTTCTGATTGACTAATAATTGAAATTGCTCAAACGCTTCTGATTAGCTCGTTCCAAAAATAGTCTCGCCCAATTCACAACATCCTCGTATGGCAGTCTGTGTCCAGTAATCCCCAATATTGATACTTCAGTGGGTCGTACCACAACGTTAGGATCTAAAGATTTCAAGTTCTTGAATGAAATAATTGACTCTATACTGTCTGTGTCCACAATCAAGTCATGAAATAAACCAAGTGATGTATATAATCGCTTTTTTATATGAGGATTACCTTTCGAAATGGTAGACAAAGATAAATGGTCATTAGGAACAGCTGAATTAATGGGATCTAAATTCCAAGGTTTAGTACTACTTGAGGCAAAATGAACAGTAGCTCTGCATACTGACTGAATGTATCCTACCTTACCACATTTAAAACATTTAGCATTACGAAATGCACATGAATTACGAGAATGAAATTTTCCACATGATAAACATTTACCAAACTTGATCTCACCTCTGTCATTTACTTTGTAATTCCTTGTTGAAACAACTTTCATATTTACACGAGAATAGGAATCACTGTTAAACGAACGCAAGTTTGATTGACCCTGAGATTGTAGTTCATCATGACGGCTAAGCAAAGTATTAGAAATCTTCATCGACTGGATATCAAGTTCATTCACTGCCTCGAAGTTAATACACGCAGTTCTAGCATCTTGAAAGGAACAGTTTGGCATTCTTAACAGTTCTCTTTCCAAACCCGGTATGTTAATTCCTGCAATTAATCGATCTCTCAGTTGCACATGAAGTTGATCACCGAAATTACATTTGGCAGCTTGTTTCTGCAATTCAAGGATGAATTCCGTAACCTTTTGATCACTTCGATGAACCATCTTATGGAATTTCGCCCTTTCATGGCATTCAAAACTAGTGCACTTTACATGATTTAATAATAGCCCCTTAAGAGTTGCATAAGGAAGTGAGATGGGTTTTTCTGGATATGCCAAATTTGTTTGATAAGCGGTACGCTTCTTTTCGGATGAATGTCAGGAGATTTGCCACAATTTTATCACCTTTAACATCTTTCTTGGTCATGCTCCAGATTTCAAAACTTTCCAAATAATCCTCAAAATCTTCGAAAGTTGGATGAATATCTAACTGTTCCATCGCAGGCTCCATCACAACGCCAATATGATAATTAGAAGTATTTGAATTATAGTAGAAACTGAATCCCAGAAATAATGCAATCGAATCAAGAAATACTAGATAAGCACGAAAAAACGTACTGTATTTGAAATTCGAAATCAAGCATTCAACAAGTACAAAGGAATCATCAGTTCATTCAAACACCACAATTAACTATACTTATTTCACATTCCACAGTTCATCTTATAATCTGCAAATACAGTACAGTTGTTTACGCTCATCTTTTCAGCTGTTAAGTTGAATTAAATGTGTTAATACTATAATCATTAATTATTTTAGTAAATAAAACTGTACGTTTAATGAGATCTTCATTTAAAGAGACTAATGTCTTCCAAATTGTATAGCGCAACATCGTGCTTCTATACCAAATCAATCATCTCTGTTCATTATCTACTTCTACAATAAACTAGTTGAATATTTATATTAAGTTCTCAGTAATTTCTATTGTTCTTAATCATGAAAAATATTGTGTCCATCTATTTACTTTGTCAATAAGAAAATAAATCACTTTTCTTAAATCTAGGTTCATTACGTGATTTTATGCGACAACGTCAGCCACAGTTTTGCAATCGACCAGTTGTTATGTCTGATATTTGTGCTCAAGTAGCAAATGGAATGGCTTACTTGGAACAAGAACAGTTTGTACATCGGGATTTAGCAGCACGAAATTGTTTAGTAAAATCAATTAGTCAAAATTCAGTTCACGTCAAGGTAGCTGATTTCGGTATGGCACGTTTTCTACTAGATAATGTATATGAACCAAGTGCTGGAACGAAATTCCCTGTTCGTTGGGCACCTCCTGAAGTATTTCAGTCTACTTATACAGCTAAAGCAGATGTATGGAGTTTCGGTAAGAGTCAGTAGTATCATTGAATATTTATTCACTTGATAATATAAAATCTTTTATTTTTCTATTCAAAAGTTTATTTAATTTTTTTGTTCTCACATTCACTTAACAAAAATGTAAACAGAATTTCAATAAATCCAAAAAAATTTTCATGGAAAGAAACCACTTAAACTTTTATCATTATTATTACGAATAAGTGAACATCATCTATACCCCGATATATAGTTTAACAGTAGTATAAAGAGTCGGTTTCATTTGGTCTACTTTAAGCAGTCGGTTTTTTTTAATTGTAAAATAAGGTTTTTATTCAAGATTTCTGTAAGGTCAACTTTTATAAAAAACTATTGTCTTTTTAATTGATTATTGGTTTTCCGTTTGTTTTATATATCCATGTTTTCTTTTACTCTGATATTGCTTCTCTTTTCTCTCTGCTTAATCTGCCTAATCGAAGTTCGTAAGGCTAAACTGGATATAATTTGATAAGAAAATTCGAAATTATGTAAGACTTCTTGTTTATCGTATTTAATATTTGTTTATTTTTGTAGACTCAAAATTATAACATTTGGAAAATATCATACGTATAAAGTATTATCGACCAGAAAGCTTGATATCCCATCAACTATCAGGTACTCATGTGACAGAACAAAGCGTTATTGATTACCTTGCGAATCTTTCAATATTTAACCAGTCATTTGTAATCTGATTAACAACTTTATATTTTATGTTTGGGTTATAAATTTAGGTCTTTAGTAGTATACTCAACTGTCTTAATTTCTAATAACTTTTCAGACAGGACTTAAATTATACCTTCATTCATTTTAGTATTTTTTTGGTTAACGTCCAATCATCTCAGTCATATGAGGTTATGCATGTATTTTATTCATGACTACCTCAAAAGATGTTTATCAAATGTTGATGGTATTTAAAAATCTGAGCAATTTTCTTCCTTATGAACTTCATGATTCTACATCATATTTTCTGTAGGACATTTTTAAACTAGCGTGCTTTGATTAACTTTTCATAAAAATTAAATATAATTGTTTTATTAAAACAAAGTGCTCTTCATATTTTTTTAATCATCATCATATAAACATTATTATTAGTATTATTATTGTCCTTTTCAAATGATTTTCTATCCATATCGTTATTTATTGAAAGGACTTAACAATGTTGTGATTTGTTATCGTACATTATCTTGTTTGTTGTTATTAAATACTTTGATATTCAATAATTTGTGGATTTCACTTGCATCCTTCACTGTTATTTCTCAGTTTTAGTAAAAATACGTTTCAAAGAAACACCATTAATCCATTTTATCAGTAGTACTTTTTTCAGGTATACACCTCATCATACCTCTTATTCGATTGACTGATTGAAGTTTACTTGATAACTCTAATTAGCGTTTACAGACTTTAGATGTCGTGATTAAAAATTGGTTATATTAGCACTGTTAGATTTGTTCATTTTCTAGTCTTGAATACTAGATTTCAACATTTCATGTTTTTTATTTCTCAGTTTCATGCATATGTATAGCAATAGTTACGTGACTGGTTCATGAAATCGGTGCCAGAATATGAAATGTATTTACTAGAAAAATTACAGGTGTAAAACGCCTAACCCTGAGGTAGCATTTGGCTTTTTCCTATATATGTTTACATTCAAGAACCGATTACTTTAATGTTGCTAGTTGCCTGTATCAAAATGATGAATTGTACATTAAATTTTATAGAAAACATTTTACAGAAATTCTTCAATATTTCCGAACTTCGAATTTTGTCTTCCCTTAAAAATTTTCCAACTCATGACACTGAATAACTGTACATACTAGTTAATGCATCTAACATTATTTATTGATCAGTCATATTTTCATCACCTGCTTTTTTATCTGAAATTTCTATGACAAAGTCAATATCACTTCCTCGATTTTATTCGGTGTGTTAATATTTTTCTCTAATAAAACCCTATTTAATTCACCAATCATCATGTACACAAACATACATGAACAGACAAATTGTAATATATATATATATATATATATATATATATATATATATATATATATATTTATTGGTGAAAGATATTCCCTATGCTTGCTTTATTATTGTTACCATTATTATTTTGAACGGAATTAGAATCACTTTTGCTTCTTTTCCTTCTGTTATTCTACACTTATTTCCACATGTGTGCTTTTTGTTTAACCTGAACCGAACTGAATTATATATATATATATATATATATATATATATATATATATATATATATATATATATAAGCACAAATGTTGATATGTGGGAGGAGTATGCTAGCTTGATATTATTGTGTTAATTTATGTTCAGTTGATGATATCTGCAGCTGTTTAACACTTACTGCTGACTTATAAACAGGGCGGAAAATTAGTATTCATAAATGGGATTGGTTTTTCTGGCGAACACATTAGGTTTGCTTTGAAAAAAAAACTCAAATTTTTATTATATGTCGGAGGAAAATGTAAAGGTCATCTATTTAAGTAATTAGCATAATATTGTGTGATTTATATGACCATAGGCTTACCAATTTAATGCTGAGAATAATTTGTTCATCATTTATTGTATAATTAACTAAATACGTACAAATTGGAATAAGATCATAACTTGTTTTAAATGTTCCTTGTTACTGGTTCTTTCGAAATGAAAGGTAAATTTAAATAAATTTATTCACCTAGTACTTGAATATGAGTTATAATCTTAGTGTGTCATACTCACCCAGTTGCTTAAGCCGAAGTAGGTGAAGCGAAGCTTGAACCTGAGACTGAGGCTAAATGTCATGGTCATACCCTCGAAATTTATCGTTAGGGCTAATGAAAAAAAAACCACCGTTGTTTTAATGTCAGGCACTAGTTAATATAAACTTGAGCTTATGTTAACAACTCTTAGATTATTTTGACTAGTTATCATACCCCACCCTTAAGCAATTGGTCGACTAATATAATTTTTTAAGACGTATAGTAAGTAACATATTGATTGTGATTATTTCATTGTCCAAGTTTGCACAAATTTGTACCGCGTATTTACTTGAAGCAGATGTGTAAATTGTCTTCCAAATAATTTTCGATAAAACTGTAAACTGACTTTTATCGTTTTCACGTTAATGATATTCCATTTATAACTTTTGTTAGTATTCAACAAATCTCTTTCATTATAATCTAGTATTTATATAAGGGTGTAATAAATAGATTTCTGAATTCGTTAACGTATCACAACATGTTTCTCGTTTGCAATCTAAATAACTAGTTGCATAGCGAAATTAATTCGTTTTAACTGAATGCCTTTCTCATCAGAAATGTGTTTTTTTATAATCTCTATTGAAGTTCATGTGGATTCCATAGTATACTTGTTAATTTCCTAATATTTATGTCCTTTCTATCTTGAAAATTGCCTCAATATTTTTTTATTATCAATATTCTTTTTTATGCTATTTGTTTTTAATCTTAACTAGGTGTGCTTATGTGGGAAGTGTTTACCTGCTGTTCAGAAAACCCTTATCAAGGCATGAATAATACACAGGTTTATCAGTATATTGTTGGCGGTGGGCGACTGCATAAACCTGCTGTATGTCCTGAGCGAATTTATGTTTTGATGCTTGAGTGTTGGCAACATGTAAGTCTTAAAGTACTTCTCTTATTTCATTTAAGTAATTAGAATAGTTTTCTTTTTGGAATCTGAGTTAATTTTTATCAACAAACTAGGATGAAAGTTGTAGTTTCAATATTCTTTTATACTATCGACTCTACTATTGAATTGTTTAAAAATTATTCATGAAAGATTTATGAGCTACATTGTCACAATCAAATACTTTCCAAATTATTCGCTTCAACATTTTACCATATATTTACTGAGTTTATGACCAGAAAAGAAATATTTTTCCGTTAGTCCTGTAGTACTTTACCTACTATAACAACGAAACTAACTTCCTATTCTTCCTTTAGATTAACATCATGAAGTAATACATATACCGACACTTAGCTATCAAAGTATTGCTAATGAACTGACAACAATGCAAAGCTTATGACATTTTAATAAGTATGGACATGCAAATTAGGTATAAAAGCAGGTTCTTTATTTTCTTTAGTATACGTTTTTGTTAAATTGTTTTGTAATGCTCCTGGTTGTCATTGATTGTTCAACTTAGGTCAATTCATGATCTCAAAAATCAAGATATCTTATTAGATGAACTTTTATTATAAGCTGAACAGTTTTAAAGGTACCAAATTATTTTCTTATATATATCATTAT